AAACACACGCACACAGTATTGTCTAGATCCGCCATGGCAGGACGGCCCAAATTCATCATATTTTAATCTTTAAAACACAACGTAGACAATCGGGTCCTACAATGCGCGATCAATTTGAGATATTTGGATTTGAATCAACCAATTTATTTTATTTAAACAAATGCAGCTTGCAGACTAAATTGTATTTATCTAAATCCATTTTGTTTGATTCTATCCTGTTCAGATTTATGGCAGCATTTATGGAGTTAAAGCTGTCTGCAATAAGTTAAACATCAAAGATTGTTTATCTTTCGTTAGTTGCGTTTTGCGAGGTTTTACTCCAGCGTCGTTCTTCCAGGTGATTTTCTTCTAATAGGTTGGAAGCAGTTATTCAGGATGTGTGCGATACTGTTTTGCAACATTTCGCATATAAGTTAAACAGAGTGGCTGGAATCTCAATCGTTCCCGAAAAAGATCCCCTTCTTCCGGATGGTTCCCGAAGTGCACCATCAAACGATGCAGTTTATGTATGTTTGAATGAAATTTTTTGAAGAGTTGACCCTTTCGCCGAATAAAAATCATTGCTGTGAATCGGAAAACAGTCAATCTCCGCTGACTGACAGTTTCAGTGGATGGCTGTCGGTACTGATGCAAGTTATTCCGATCGTCATCTATACGCAAGATCTGGAGAAGGCCCGGTCTGTTCTTAGACCGTTTTATTTAGGAGATGTCCACCAGTCAAAATGTGATGCCAGAGCATTCGATAATGTTTTATGAATTCGAGGGTCACGATGGTACCGGTTCAACCGGACGTATTTAGCTGAAATCAGCTTCCCTTAGGTCGTTTTTTTTCCTTGATTTGTTTTCCGTCGATCTTGTTTTCCGTGCTGAGAGGGAGGCAGCTCCCACACCTGGACCCTACATATCGACCCATCAACTCATGAACCGGGGACCAACGGCTTTACTTCCCTTCCGAAGGAAGGCGTGATCAGAGTTGTTATGTCTCAGAACATCCCGGCGGCGCCGACTGGGATTGAACCCAGGGCTGCTGGGGTGAGAGGCAATCACGCTTACCACTACACCACCGGTGCCGCTACCTTTCGGTCGTTAGCATCGCTTGAATTTTTCATACTTTAATTACTATGAGGATCCGTTTTAAGTTCAGTTAACTTTTCTTTATTAAAGAGGTTTTAAGCCTTCGTCTCTGAACCGTTTTAAGTTCAATTTAGATTTTATTGTACACTTTAAAAAGCCCATGCTTTTTGCTCGCATTTGAAACCGAATGGTTTTATGGTAGTTTTCATAATGATATAGCACGTTTATAGAGTATTTTATCAAGACATTAATAAACAATTGCTATAAAGACTATAAAAGGTTTTTAAAACAGCAAAAAGCTGAATTACTAACCAGCCCAAGTAACATTTTAAGTTTTATGAAATACTGTAAAGCAACTATAAAACAACATTCATAAAACCCTGGTCAAGGCTATTTTGTCATTAATGCATCCACCAAAACCTCATTAAGACTAGAATATGTCTAGTTGGCCCACCCAGGAGAAGGTTCTGAAGGGTGTATTCTCGAAGCTCTTCAAGATTGATTTACTGCAAAAAGTTGTATGACGAACGCATTGAGAACCATTTGAAAGCTACAACAAAAGCTATTTAGCAACAATAAAAACCCTTTCCGAGCCATTTCCCCTAGCCGCATGCTGAATCCACTAGGAAAGCATCAATCAAGATAGAAAAGGATTTATGAATCCGATCTTATCAAAATAATTAAAATATAAACTTATGGTACAAAAATCTTGTTGAATTTCCAAATTTATTACAATAGTTCTCATTAAGTGCCTAGTTTTAGGTGCCATATCAAATTTTATGTGAAATGTACGTGAAAACATCGAAAAAATTAAGCCCACCCTCGTAAAACGTCAATTTGACTAATTATTTAACATTGAAAAAAAAAAATGTTCTTCAGGTCGAGCTTGGTCGAGATTTTTTTTATTATTTTCGCATTTATATGTTTGCTCATTGCTAAATTTACCAAAATATAATTATATCTAAGAAAATATTGAATGAAAATCGGAGATTGTACAAAACAATAGTTTGCTTGTTTTGTACAATCTCCGATTTTCATTCAATATCAATTCAATTCAATTCAATATTAATGCATAAGTGGCATAAAAGTTGATTTTCATGGGTCATTTGTGAAAAAGTTATTTTGCTTTCAAGAATTCCTTAACAAATTAATAAGGTTTTTAAATCGCTTTTATGAAGAAACTTGCCGGCTGAATTGTATTTATCTAAAGCCATTTTGCTTGATCCTTACCCGTTCAGATTTATGGCAGCATTTATGGAGGCAAAGTTGCCTGCAAAAAGCTAAACGTCAAAGTTTGTTTATCTTTCGATAGTTGCACTGTGAGATCCAGGATTTTTCCTGGCGATTTTCTCCCGATGGATTGGGAGCAGTTACTGAGATAGTTTGCGATACTGTTTTACAACATTTCGCATTTCGAACAGCTGGAAGCGCAATCGTTCCCGAAAAAGATCCCCTTCTTCCGGATGGTTACAGAAGTGCACCATCCAATGATGCAGAGATGTACGGTTGAATGAAATTTTCGAAGAGTCTTTCGCCGAATAAAATCGCTGCTTTGGATCGGAAAGCAGCTAATCTCCGCTAACTAACAGTTTCAGTGGTTTGCTGTCGGTTGTTATTTCGATTGTCATCGCAAGATCTGAAGGCTGGAATGTTTTTCAACTTTAGACTCTTCTTAACGGCGCCGGTGGTGTAGTGGTAAGCGTGATTACCTCTCACCCCAGCAGGCCTGGGTTCAATACCAGTCGGCGCCGCTATGATGTTCTGAGGCATAACATCTCTGATCACGCCTTCCTTCGGATGGGAAGTATAGCCGTTGGTCCCCGGTTCATGAGTTGATGGGTCGATAGGTAGGGTCCAGGTGTGGGAGCTGCCTTCCTGGCACGTCGGTAGCATTTGTGCTCAGCACGGAAAACAAGATCGACGGATAAAACAAACCAAAGGAAAAAAAAAAGACTCTTCTTACTCTTCTCCGACAGATGGTCAGTCGTTGGTGGTGTGCTGGTTCTTCTAAAGAAGTAAATTTAAATTGACTTGATTTTTTCATCCTACTTCGTCTATCCTTCGAGATTTCCCTTCCTTTCCTTTGGCATTTATTAACTATGAGGAACCATCTTTTGCTCAATTTGTAAACAAAGTAATTGGGGAGTTAATGATGCACTTTAAAAAGGCTAAAAAGCAACAATAAATGCTTTTTTCTCTAATGCAAAACCTAATTGTTTTATGGTTGCTTTTATAATGATAAAACACGTTTATAAAGTATTTTATCATGACATTCATAAACAATTGCTAATGACGTTTATGCTTGAATTACAGAACAGTTTTAAGGAGGGATTGATAACTGTTTTAAATTTATTTTTAAAACAAGACAGTTTTCATTTTCTTGCCAGACTATAAAAGGTTTTTAACACAGCAAAAAGCTGAATTACTAAGCCGGAATGTCGATTGTTCATTGCCGTTATAAAACCATCATAAATCAGAGTGGATGCTAAATGGTTACTGAATTGTTACTTGCGAGGAATGTTTAACACTTTGAAATGCTGTTTTTAAACTAAATGGATTGTTTATTGCCGTTATAAAATCATCATAAATCAGATGCCAAACGATTGCTGAATTGTTACTTGGGAGGGACTTGGCGACCTAGTGGTGACCGTTTTTGCCTACTGAGCAGAAGATCTTGGGTTTTATTCCAGACCCCTTTACATCGTTCGAATAAAAAGAAGGTAAATATTATTCGTTTTCGAATTTCGAAAAACGATACATTATATCATCAAAACCACGATCGCATCCCTTATCCAGGTGAATCCTGACCCCACGAACCCAACCTCCTAACAAAATGTCACCTTCTGTGACCTTTCTGGTCATTCTTATATTCCTTCCCTACTCCCATATGATTGCAAGGACGTGGCTATTATTAACCTTTAAATATGGAGTCATTGAAACATGTACATTGAGAATGGATGGTCACTTCCAGCCCCATTCAGTTGATTCAATGAGCAATTCTGATTCTGTACAATCACGGAGCAGCAATCATTATTAATTACTAACGATTTCCACGTCCATAACATGCTCTAAATTTTGAAAATCGTCCATTGGGGATAGCAACGATTGATTTTCTTAAAATTAATCGGGTCACAAATCTAAAATAACATCGAATCTGAAGTTTAATGCACATGAGAAATAAAACAAACCGATAGGACAGGATACACGGCGAATGAGAACGACCCAAATTTGAGTTTAGTTCACGCATAATCGCCAAAAGTGCAGGAACTCAGCGATGAGTAAAATTTGTCTCATGGTTTCCTGTGGAAAACCTAAAAAATCTATCTGCCAGAAAATGAGGAAATTGACGAAAATTTTATTCAATCTCGGAGTAGTACCAATAGACTGAGTGAATCCAATCTTTACTTTTCTCAAATTCGGGAATTTTTCCCTGGAAAATCCTGGAAAAACCAAGGAAAACATAAGGCAAACTTACTCATCGCTGAGTTCCTGCACTTTTGGCGATTATGAGTGAACTAAGCTCAAATTTGGGTCGTTCTCATTCACCGTGTAGACTTAAACAATTCATATGAACACTCATAGTACGTACATAGCAGGTGCATTCACTAAGAGACACTAATCAATTTTTGTTCTATCTATGAAATGTCTAGTTTTTGTAATCGGGTAAAATTCCGCCCACTTACAAACAAAGTGTTCTACAATGTGTATCCACTTCTCCCCGCATAAACAGGGCGACGACTGCATTGATCTGCTATTGCTGTGCCGTATGCATAGGTATGCTCACGGTGGGTGGGTGAGCATGGAGCAACACTCCATCAGTGAGTGAGCCCCGCCGTCGATGCTGCTCACGCTGCTAGTATCTCTCTCTCTCTAGAGCCATTCCTCACAAACGAGGCGCATCAGTATCATTCGAACTTTTCCCTCGAACGGACGTTCATATCGCTGGACGTGGCTGACGTGTGTTGTGTTGTGTACTCTAAGGGAGAAGAAGGTTGTGTTCTGTTGTTTCTTGCAAACTCTCCTCACCGCAGACGCGGAACCTCCTCAGCCGGGGCACCTTACATTTGGGTGTACGGAGGAGCCCAAAAGTGCCACCACCAACACTCTGTTTTCGGCACTACTTTTCCTCGCGTTCATTTCGGACCCCGACGGATGGCCGTAGTGTAGTCGTGTGGTAGTCGTGTTTCGCAAAACATAAACATCATAATAGCACTGCTTATGAGGTGAGCAATGCTCTGCTGGCTGAGCCAGGAAAGCGTGAAGCCCAACAACATAGTAGGCGCGTACCTGAGAAGAATGGCTGGGATGGGTGAAGTGGGAGTGAAAGAGAAGTCGCAAACCTGTGGAACCTGATCGAGCAGAGAACATTGCATGGAGATGGAGATGGAGATCGTGTGTTGATGGTTCGGCAGGAGTGTATGTGTGCTTGAGTGTTGCGTGTGGGTGCGCTGCATGATCGTGTGAGCGGGGGAGTGCATGCTAGCGGAAGTAGTGTCACTCGGGTTGGCTCTTTGTGTGTCTGCTTCGCTTGGCGAATCACGGTACAATGGAGGAATTGACGGTAAAGTGAGCGATCGGTAAAACGGCATGTGTGTGAGTGTCCACTGCCTTCGGTCTGTGTAGTCTCAAGTTGGCTTATGTTGCGCTAGTCGTTGTTGGTTAATGTTGCCGTGCTATGTTTCTTGTTAGGTTTTTTTTTCAACGAACCTAAATTCCAGAGTGGTTCTCTGGACGTGAAGTGAGTGTAGTTTTGGGCTCTCAAGATATGCTAGAACACGGGAGCAATGAAAGACAGAGAAAACATTCGTACGGAAAGAATCAACGTGTACGATCGACTGAACGAACGAACGGTGTGTGTATGCTACGGAAAGGTGTTCAAAAGGGAGATCTCAATTCCAACTGGTTTGAAATGAGGAAAATGGATCTGTTGAATTGAAAAAAAAGTCTGTTTGAAAATGAAACAACAGCAGCGAAATGCAACAACATTGGCGGAAATTTGAGATGCGATGACTGTTTTTTTTAATTTTGAAAAACAGCAAGAGACGCAAAAAGGTTGATTGGGGTTTCGGATGGCAGACAGACAACAGAGTCTATAAAACAGAAGAAATTTTGTTTTCGTCGGGTCGAGCGCTTTTGCGACACGGTATGCTGGATCAGCTCGAGCGAAAAACCTGTTTCCTTTCTATATTTTTGTTTCCCTCGCAGTGAAGTAGTTTAATGTGTCAATGAACTTCTGCGGAATGGCAGTTCGGTTTTGAACCGATTGTTGGCGATTGGCGCGGGATTACTAGAATGTAAATTTAGTAATGTGAAGGTTTGGGAATATTTATGAATAAAGTTATTCATCCATTTCGTCGTGATTGGAATTATTCGAATAACATTCGATTATTGAAATCAAAAGTGGATTCGTTTTGGATATCATCTACGCGTCGATGTTTCAGGTTCCAGTTATTTTGTTTTCTTTATAAGAGAGACTGTCAGGTTCCAGTTATAGCCCAATTTACCAAAGTTTGTGGATTTCTTAGTGGCTTGAGTTATTGATGTAAATAAATGTTTTGGTGCCCTTATTGGGTATACAAACACGGGTCCTGGCATTAAAGTATCATTGTTCTTGCCATATAATATACGAATGAAAAAATGGCATTGGCATAGCGAGAAAATTTTATCTTTTGAGTCTCGACTACAGCGCATTTTTCTTTCAATTTGAGATAAAAATCTGATTTGTTTTCTTCCTTAAGTCTCATTTTTCCAGCAGCTACATTTGGAGATAATTTTTTTTCAATAAATTTTAAATTTAAACGCAGCTTTCGTTTAGTAAATACAGTCACCCTAGTATTATGGGCCTGTCACCTCTGCGTGTTAATCAAATGGAAGTGGCTTATAATAGTGAGTGATCTAAAATACTGGGGTGACTATATATTACACAGATAATCCGGTACTTTTTATGTTATCTTAGTTCGGGATCCAAAGAAATCCTTCGTTCAAGATTTCAATATTTAACTTTCATACTGGCTTTCTATAAGCGATTTCCGTGAGTTAAAGATTCCTTGTAACTAGTCTCAATACCTCAGCATTTGTATTTGTAGAAGACTTTCTGATGCAGTCCACCACGTGAAGTCCGTTCGTCCTCCGATCATATTGGTTTTTCTTCCTGCTGTCATAGAACTAGAACTACCTTGACTGAGTCGAGTGGATCACGTGTCTGGTTCAGAATGTCCATGATTGATATTTTGCAGAGCAGAATTAAATATTCGATTACGTTGTATGTGCTACAACAGAATCAGAGAGATGAAATGCTGTGTGGGAATACGAATTAACAGCAGACGGTGGATCGATCCTATCGCAAGTTCGATGATCCGATATATACCCACTTAGAAAATATCGTTTGTTTTTACCGAAATTTCAACTGCTGAGCGCTCGGCAATCAGTTCGGGAAACGAAATCACGAAATATTTTGTAACCATGATGATTAGCATAATTTGGATACAATATATGGCAGTCAATTGAGGGCAAATTGTCGACTCTAGTGCACGAGGCACGTTACAGTGTTCACAGCTAAAAAAAAGTAGTGTAAATTTCCGTTACTATGATGCACATAAATGGAGCGTCATATATCATACAAGTTTAGATTATAGATCGTGTAAATTTATGAGAAATGTAATGTAATATCCCATATATTGTATGCAACTGTCCACTTTTGTTTGCAACATTTCCTGCAAGTTGCTAGTTTACGTGAAAAGGAAGTTTACATGTATGAATGTTTGCATGCATGGATGTTTACATCGCCAGTAAAATTCAGAATTTTTTGGTGTGTTGTTCAGCCTTTATACACAGTTCGAAAAGTAGTGTAAATTTCTGTTCAATATGATGCACACAAATGGAGCGTCATATATCATATAAGTTTACATTATATATCATGTAAAGTTCTAGCACAATTCATGCAATGTAGCAAATATTGTATACAAAAGCCCATCTTTGTTAACAACATTGTTTACAAGTTGCTCGGTTGTTTGAAATTAAATTTAAGTTTACGTGAATGAATGTTTACATCACAATTAAAATTCAGAATTTTTATCTGTGTAGGAGTATCAACATGTGCTTGTTCAACATCTCCACGAATCTGATGTGCTATACCAACACACTGTTCCGCGAGGTCAAACTTCGCAATCAGGTTGACTCAGTCTACATTGATTTTTTAAAACTGTTTGACACGGTACCACACGCGAGTGCTTGTTAAAAACCGAAAGCTATAGGACTCCCTGATTGGCTGGTTGACTGGATTCGGTCTTACCTGACGAATCGTAATTCTTTCGTGTCGTTAAACTCTAGTCGTTCGGAATCGTTTTCATTCACTTCTGGTGTACCACAGGGCAGTGTGCTGGGACTATTAATTTTCGTATTGTTTGTAAATGATTTGTGTCCACGTATGTCATCATTAAAGCAGCTGTTTGCCGATGACCTGAAAATCTGCAGAGTCCATCCTCGACTGTATTGTGCTTCAGCGTGATACCTATTGGCAATATGTATGTAGTGAAAATAGAATGAAGGACACACTGGTATCTGTACCATTGGAACAAGTGTCATCAATTCTTGATCTAGGGGCTACGGTTGACTCGAAGTTGATGTTTAACAATGACGTCGGTTTCATTCGGCGGCATGAAGCTTAAGTGTGATAATTTATTAGCTAGAGAATGGTCTTAGAATAGGGTAGGTAGATAGTTGTGAAGTTGAATAGAAGTTGAAAATGAGCGAAGGTCCATTAATGCAACAGTACATGTCAAACGCACACTTCTTTGCCTAACCCGTACGATGTTCGAGGAGATTTGAAGTATGTCTTCAAATCTACAGGCAAAAAAGTGCGCGCTTGACTTGCTCATATACTGTCTGCGGCTGTGGAATAGTTCTAGCGACGTTTTCATCACTCAGGGGGATGAAAATACCGGTGGCGCCGACTGGGATTGAACTCAGGGGGTGAGAGGGAATCACCGGCGCCGCTTCTAAGACCATTCTCTAGCTAATAAATTATCACACTAAAGCTTCATGTCAGTTGGTATTTCCAACCAATTCTGAAAATCGCAAACTTCGCGTATGAAGTAACATAAAAACACTTTTACTGTTAAATAGGAAAACTTCATATCTCCAGAACCAATTGTCCGATCGGGATGAAAATTGATAGGATTCTATGGTAAAGAGAACCAAACAATATGGAATTGGTTGCACTCAAATTGGATCAGCCATCTCCGAGAAAAGTTAGTGAATATTGCGGTTTCATTGCAAAATTTGACTTTATTTATATATATCTCCGTGACCAACTGTCCGATAGGGATATAATTCAATAGAATTGGGAAACAGATACCAACAAAATGAAATCGGTTGTACTGAAATCCGTTGAGTGCTCTCCGTGAAAAGTGAGTTAGTATAATAGTAAAATTGTTAAATTTTCTCGTTTTTACCCTTCTTACAAATATAAGTATACACACCGCGCTTGCAATGCCTATCGTCGACTCTATACAAGTCGTATTTCTTACGTATCCAGACAAATTGACGTAGAAATCCCAAGACCTTCTAGAATTTTGTGAACTCCGTATTTCTTGGCGATTTGAAGACTACTTCTATGCTTGAATCTTGTGATCTCTTTTCTCGCCACTTCAGTTCTGTTTTTTCTTCGGATAGATATAGATATAGATAAAGTAGAAACAGCTGCTTGCAATGTTCCTGAGGGTCTCATTGATTTGAGTACATTCGTGGTTAGCTCTATGGATGTCATCAAGGCTGTTATGAAGTTGAGGAAATGGGTCCTGATGGTGTACCTGCAATCATTTTTTGCCGCTGAGTTGCTGCTTTAGCTGATCCTCCGGCTTGCATCTTTACTGCTTCGTTGGACCAAGGAGTTTTTCCTGAAATATGGAAACATTCCTTTATGTTCCCTGTTTATAAGACGGGCGAAAAACGTAACGTGACTAACTACCGTGGTATTGCAAGTCTTACTGCACTTTCAAAACTATTCGAGATCATTGTGAACGATGCTATCTTCTTTCATGTCAAAAGTTACATCTCAGCAATGCAACACGGATTTATGTCGGGACGTTCAGTTGCATCAAATTTATTGTAGTTCACTTCAACTTGTATAAATTACTTGGAAAATATGGCTCAAGTAGATACTGTTTATACCGACCTGTAAGCGGCCTACGATTGCATCGATTATTCTTCTTCGTAAAATGTCTCGTCTGGGAGTTTCGGACGGTTTGGTTGATTGGCTGAAATCGTACCTTTCCAATAGAACTCTCCGTGTCAAGCTGGATCAGTGCACTTTTTTTGCAACCTCAGGTGTTCCCCAGGGCAGCAATTTAGGACCATTGTGACATCGTTGTCAAGCGTCCTTGCCGAAGATTGCCGTCAGCTCCAAGAAATGTTGGACAAAATAGTTGACTGGTGCCACTTAAACAAGCTCTCCCTCAGTATATCAAAATGTGTAGTCATGCCATTTCATCGCATTCGATTACTCAATTGATGGATTTGTACTCGAAAGAGTAGAACAAGTGCGCGACCTTGGTGTAATGTGGGACTCTAAGCTTACGTTTTACTTACATCGTTCAATGGTAGTCACTAAGGCACATGGTCAGCTTGAGTTCATATCACGAATCTCAAGAAACTTTTCGGATCCGTACTGTTCACTTGTGCGCCCGATTCTTCAGACTGCATCTGTTGTTTGGATTCATTGTCAACTTTCCTGGAGCATTAGAATAGAACGTATTCAAAAAAACATTCATTCGGCGAGCATTAAGGAAACTTCCTTGAAGAGATCCACTAAACTTACCTCCATATGCTGAGAGATGTCGCTTGCTAGGCATGGATACTTTAGAACGACGGCGACAGATTCAACAGGCAACATTCGTCGCGAAGCTATTAAGTGGTGAAATTGATTCCACCCACTTAGTCTCTTGCCTGAACTTTCGTGCGCCAAGCAGATTTCTGCGCTCATCGTTCCTATTGCGTCAGGACTCACATCGCTCTTCTTTTGGACAACATGAACCTATTATGAGTATGATTCTACAGTTCAAGAGTTGTTCGAGTTTGGGGAACCTGCGTTTCCCGAGACGTATTATCAATTCCAGACACAGGTTTTGTACAACGGTTGAATCGACATTTTTGTCCGCTTTCAACCATGGTTTCAACATTTCCTGCTCCGTAGTGACAACTTTAGGATGCTTACGGAGTTCGTGCTACATCATAGCCCAGTATCTTTCGATCGGCCACAACTCCGGTGTGTTTGGGGTATAGAGATCCTTCGGCACGAAATTGACCTCATTCGTCTTGTACAACCCTAGAACGTCCTTGGAGTAGTGACAAGAGACTAGATCCGGCCAAAACAATGTAGGAACGTTGTGTGATTTGAGAAACTCCATTTCCACACGAACAAATCGCCTGCCAAATCTTGAATTTCTTGGGGAACTTCGAAACTTGCTGTTTGCTGAGAGACTCTGAAACATCGCACTTGTCTTTTGTAGTCACATACTGGTTTCCCGGAATTTGTTTGAAGTCCGCTTTTACGTATGTTTCATCGTCCATGATACAGCAGTGTGGTTTTGTTAACAGCTGTGTGTACAGCTTACGTACCCGCGTTCTAGCTGTCCTATTCTGTCGTTCATTGCAGTTTGGTGCTTTCTGAACCTTGAATGAACCCTGCTCGTTTCTTGCCTTTCTGCACGAAACTTTTTGTCCGGTGCAGTTTTTTCGCGACATTCCGATCTGGGTTTGCGTTTAAAAGGCAGCAACCACTCGCTTGTGATCTTCATCGCACTCACTTGCCTCCGATCGACAGTTAAACGTTCTCGGAAACGTTTCCATTTTCAAAACTACTAAAATTTCTCAATGAAACTCACGCAGTGTAAATAATACAAGCAGAGGCCATCTCACCCAAAATTTAATTAAAATTAACCCAAAGGGCAAAATGTTACAGCTTTTTTAAAGTGGTGCAAGTTAACTGTGGACACCCTTTAGTTAGATACGGACATGTTCTGGGTACCCCCAGGGAAGTGACCAGCTTCTGAGTTCGTCATGCGTCACATCAAATCACATGATACTTCAAAAACCAGTTTAATGGTAGTAATTTGGAGTGTCCATGAGCACACTGGCCACATACGGACATGTTCCAAGAGTCCTCGGATTCATGTCATCAAATTAAAAGGGATTCAAATCTTGCCCAATTTTAAAATGCTTTTTATAAAAATGTATTTCTGAGAATTTACAAATTTGTCTGGAGGCTTGAGAGTATTGATAAAGTCACATAAGATATTTGATTTTTGCGCTGATATATACTCAAAATTAAAACGGGGAATCAAGTGTGTTCACTCTCCCTTAAGGTTGACAATTTAAAACAAAAATAAATAATGTATAACATGTGAATGAAAGAAAAATGTGTATGTGTGTGTGCGTTAATGTCCCTGATTTCCACCAACAGAAACATTGAACTTTGTCTTCTAAACTGTGGCAATAAACAATTACTTTTGATCACAACTGATCTCGTGATCTTGCTAAATCAAACACTAACAAAATCCATTTTCTCTTATATTTCCAGAATCTGTCTATTTTCCATTTTTGATAACGAAACGATACATACATCCGGGGGACACAGACGCAATCCAGCAAAAGTGACTCAAGTTCCCAGACTGAAAATAGGAAAAATACAATAATCAGCGCTGATTTATTGACTTTTCTTTGGAAACAAAAGAAACCACTCTCAAATAAATCTAGCGTGAAAATCGGTGTCATCACTCAACTGGCAGAACACAGACGAACAGTGTATTTAGCAATACAAAAAACTTGTCAATTGGCTTTGCTTCGTTGGCAACAGTGACGGTGTACAAGTGACGACAAAACAATCAAACATCAAAATTTGCAGTGAATGTATCAAAACGTTGAAGAAATCGTGACTTGTTGTTGACTTGAACCGATCGAATCCGAACAGTGGTCCCCCAAAGGTAAAGTGCGTGCATCACCCCTTCGGCGGCGGCAGGATTCTCGAAATTTTGCACGCTTCAGCGATCCTGAGTGGGCCACAAGAAGCAGCTTAGGCCGTGTGTGCACGGTGCAACAGTAGTGGGCAGGGGTTTCGCGCTTCGCTGCACATGTCTTTGAAACACAACAATGGCCGCTCGGGCGGTCAGTGAGCGATTTGACCACACAAGCCGGTACTGAAGTCTCGAGTGCTTTGCGAAACTTTCCTTTCTGACGCCTCCCCTTCGGTCAAGTGTTGCAAACCTTTTGGCGTCGCCGGAAAATCAAAAGTGAAACGATCCACGTTCTAAAGGTGGTATTTATCGGTCAGTTGGTGGAAAATTCAAACCGGAGTGGATCGTACGTGCATATGAAAGAAAAATCGACTGCGGTGGGAAAAAGTGAAAATTGAGTTATCCCTCAAACATCCTCCAGTGATCGGTTGAGTTTGGTGAATGTATGGATTCCAGCGCTAATTGCATCCAAATGAAAGGAGAATAATAGCAGCAGCGCGGTTTAAGCAAAAGAAAAGCAGTGGCATCCAGTATCCAGTAGTTGAATATCCAATCAGTTTTTGAACAAATCTCAGTTTCGAAAACAAAGGCCTCCGCCACCGCCTCCGAAGAGTGCGAGTGATAAAAATTTATAGCTAATTGATCGTTTTCCCCGGGTGCACCTCGAGAGGCGCTTCGCCATTCATCCGCCGAACGATTGGCGTGTTGTTTTGGATGTGAGCAAGAAAAAGGGAAAATTTTGGTCAGTTTTTTTTTACTTCTCGCCCGTCAGCGGGAAAAAGGCGCAATTAGACTCGCGCGCGTGCGAACGGCTGCAGTCAACAGTCGGAAGGCGGAGAAGAAAAAGAAAAAGAAGTTGATGAAAAATTTACAAAACGAAGAAAATTGAAGAGTGCGATAAAATATAGCGAAACATACAAAAAAAATCCATAGCGGTTCATCGAAAAGTGAAACAACTAAAAGCAACAACTACAACTACAACAACAACAACAAAAGCCAAAGCGCCTCTGAAGAAAAATTCGAATCCAAAAGTTAAGTGAAGTTATACACACTCTGTGTGAGGTGTCTGTCAGTTTTTCTTCTTCAGATTGTTGCGTGTGGAAGTGGAAGTGCATTTCTTTGGTTTTGTTTCATCATCATTACTGCCATTATCAGTGCTATCGGTGGTGAAAAATTACACTTGGAGAAAAAAAACTTTCGGATTTACATGCACGCATACTCGAAGAAACGGTTGGAAAATTGCGTGCTGCATGAGAAGAAGATGCAGCAGAAGAAGAAGCAGTAAGAAGGCGAGAGACCAACGACGAAGACGTGAACTTTTACGTGAACTCATTGCAAATGGTAATTATACTTACGTTTGTTGTTTTGTTTTTTTTTTGCTCGAGACGAAATCATTTGGAAATCTATTTTTCCGATGCGATGCGATGCGGTGAGTGGTGTCTTCTTGGTTGATAGTTAAAAGGGGCCTATTATTAGTTATAATAACAAAAGGGTAACGGTTGCCGCGCAGATTGATAATGAGTGGGCTTTGGGGATGGATATTTCCCTAAGAGTGGGTGTGTGCGCGAAAGCTAAGTTAAATGAAAAGGCTGCAGATTCGCTAATGAGGGGTTGAAATGTTGGCGTTTTGGATGATTGCTTACGGCTCAGGGTGGATTGAAGCGCGTTTGATAATTACTAATTTTCTATTAACGTGAGCTGTCAATTACGAAATTTGATTGGGGCCGATTATTTAAGGCTCACGACTCACAAGGTTGCCAAATGTGGACGTTGGGGAACCTTTCTCAATTGTATAACTTTGTTCTGCCGTGTTGGTTTTTTATTGTTTACCAATTATACAAATAATGTTATAACTCTTGCTCAAACTCTCAACTGTTTATCTAGATTTTCTCGTAAATATTTTTCCAAAAGTTAAAAAAAAATTCTAGTTTTTGTAATTATAGTTCCAGATTGACTGGGGAGCGCCCAGACCTTATTTGATCGTGGTATTTCTCTTAAGGCTAATAAAGCACTCTAGGGTACGAGACTAGACTAGACTTTCTCTAGCTAATAAATTATCGCACTGAAGCTTCATGTTGATATTAGTATAGTATTTCCTCCCAACTCGGAAAATCGTAAACGTCACGTATGAAGTAACAAAACACTTTGCTTGAACTGAACTCAAGGCGGGAGTAATTATCAGCAATGCTGATGATGGTACAGCGCGCAACACTGTTTTTATTTTAGATGACTACGTTGGTCATGATGAGAGAAGCAAAACAATAGTTGGGTAACCAACAGTTTATAACACACCATAGCCTGGATATGATTTCGGCAACTTTTGGCTATAGGTAGTGACAAACGTCGCTAGAAATATTCCTCGCAGTATATGAGCAAGTCAAACGAGCATTTTTTTGCATGTGGATTTGAGGACATCCATCCATCGAAGTATGAGTTAAAGGTAAAGGAGTACGCATTTGATAGTATTGGCGCATTAATGGCCCTTCGTTAAATTTCAACTTTTGTTCAATTTTCGCACTGCCGTACTCTAGTGGAACTATGAATCTATCCTCTTCATAACTTTCTCTAGCTAATAAACTATCATTATGTTGATATAAGTATAGAATTTCCTCCTAACTGTCATAAAATTTTGACTAATTTAACCGATACAACTTTCAATCGATCAGTAATTGGTTCTTGTTTTTGAATTTATAGCGGTGAAGCGTTGTTCTAGCTGAATTTTTAAAATATTAAAGGAATGCGTCAAACCCCTTTTTCATTTTTTTTTAATGCTCTTAAAATCCAACAAAATTTGTGTGCATCCTTTCAATACAACCCAAGCAACAATTTTGGTTAACTAAAGATTATGTTAAATTACCGATATGAAATCATTCTAGTTTTTTATAGAACAATAATAATATTATCATAAAGAATATGATGGCACTTACGAACCTTGAAATTACAGGTTCTAATAATCATTAATTGCAATGAGGTACACGGTAGCATTCCATGGGTTCCGTAATTTTGATTTTCTCTAAGCTTTGCATCTCATTTCGTGATGCACCTTTGTCGTAATACTTCCTTCAACGAACACAAATTTTCTTGCATTGCCATGGTCATCTGGGAGGAGGTTCACGTCTAGTGCTTTCCCCAGGAATAGTTCGCAACTGCCACCCGTCCAGTCTTCAGCGTACCCAGCGAGGCATCTTTCGTATTGCTCGCAATCTCCGACACCGGTGAGAGACCAGCAGTCGAGCACATTTGCAAGCAGAAAACTTGCTGATTCACGGTAACGTCGGCCACCAAATCACCACCAAAACTTGCGACGGACACATTATCAACACGTTCGCGGGCTAATTCACCAACCGGACCGATCTCTAAATAGAACTACACGCCGAAAGTGTAGCATACGAACTCGGAGAACCGGACTCCCTGTAGGCAATGAAAACCGACACCGAACAATGGAACTGAAGCTGCGCCGTATATTTTGGAGGTTAGATTCAAGGTCAACCGAGTCACTCAAGGCAAACACAGGCAAAACACGATATGTATGTCACTAAATGATAACTATATCGACACTTGAAACTAAACTTCAGTACACAAATCAACAAATTTAAAGCAACATATGTTTAATTCACGGACGAGAAATACGCAGCCTCTCCAAAAGTCTGCGGGACTTTCCCGAAAGTCTGTGGGACTTTCCTCGAAAATCCGTGGGACTTTCTCCGAAAGTCTGTCGTACTTTCCGTGAAAGTCTGTCGGACTTTCCCTGAACAGACTGGACTTTCCCTGAAAGTCTGTCGGACTTTCCCTCAAAGTTTGTTTAACTTTCTCTGAAAGTCTGTTGGACTTTTCCTGAAAGTCTGTTGGACTTTCCCCGAAAGTCTGTGGGACTTTCTGTGAAAGTCCGTCGGACTTCCCCCAAAAGGCTGTAGGACTTCTCATGAGAGTCCGTCGGACTTCTCCTGAAAGTCCCTCTAACTTCTCCTGAAAGTCCGTTGAACATCTCCTGGAAGTCCGACGGACTTCTGCTCGTCGGATTTCTCTTGAAAGTCGATGGGATTTTTTCTGAAAGTCGTTCAGACTGCTTTTAGAAATACACCGGATTTCTCCTGAATCTCTGTCAAAATTCTCCAGAAAGACCTTCAGACTTCTCCTGAAAGTTATTTGGACTTCTCCTGAATGTCCTTCGAACTTCTCCTAAAAGGCCTTCGAACTTCTCCTGAAAGTCCTTTGAAGTTCTCCAGAAAGTTCTTCGAACTTCCAACCTGGAAAATCTCATGAAATTCCGTTGGACTACTCGTTAAAATCGGTCAGATATCTCGTGAAAACCCGTTGGACTTTTCCTGAAAAACCGTCAAAATCCTCCAGAATGTTTGTCGAAAAATCTCATTAAAGTCGGTCGTCTTTCTGCCGAAAGTTTTTCGGACTTCTCTTGACAATCCGTTGGATTTCTCCTGAAAAGCGTGGAGAATTCTCCTGAAAGTTGTTCACACTTCCGTAAGAATTCTCCTGAAAGTTTGTAAAAATTGTCCAAAAACTTTTTTTTTCTGAAAATCATTCGGAATTCACCTGAAAGTCTATCGAACTTCTCCTGAAAGTCTGTCGGACTTCGCTTGAAAATCCGTCGGATTTCTCCAGAAATTCTATCAAACTTCTTCCGGAAGTTCTCTGGATTTTTGCTAATAGTCCGTCCGAAATCTCATGAAAGTCCGCCTTACTTCTCCTGAAAATTGTTGAGACCCCCTTTGAAAATTTGTCGGATTTCTCCTGAAGGTTCGTTTAAATTCTCCAGAAATTCCACTGGAAAATCTCATGAAAGTCCTTTCGGCTTCTTCTGAGAGTTCATCGAACTTCTCCTGAAAGTCTATCGGACGTCTTCTTAAAGTCTTTCGGACTTCTCTTGAATGTCTTTGGGACTTCTATTAAAAGTCTGTCAAACTTGTCGTGAAAGACATTCGAACTTCTCCTGAAAGTTCATCGGATTTCTCCAGAAAGTCTTCCGGTTTTCATCTGGAAGTAATTCGGGTTTATTTTCTGTAAGTTTGTCGGACTACTTTTGAATATCCGTCGGACTTCTTTCTCGTGGAAAGCCTAGTCCGTTAGACTTGTCCTGGAAGTCATTCGGAATTCCTCTGAAAGTCGAAAGTATTTCTCTTGAAAATCCGTCGGGCTTCTCCTGATAGTCCGTCGGAAATATTCAGGAAGTTCTTCGGATTTCTCTTGAAAGTTCTTTGGATTTTTAAACGTCATTCAGACATCTCTTGAAAACCCGTCAAAACTCTCCAGAAAGTCCGTCGGAAAATCTCTTGAAAGTCCATCGGAAAATCTCCTGAAAGTCGTACCGGCGCAGGCCGCCAGCACCACGATCCAAAGTGGGATGACGTCCGGCTTGGGAGTCGGTTCAGGCGTGGCCTGGACCTGGATCTCACGCATCTTCAGTGGCATCTCCTTCGGCCGACCGATGTACGGCAAACGAGTGACGCGGGCCACGGTCATCGTGGAGCAGTTGATCGTCGTTCCGGACGAGATCTTGTGCAAGTTATGGGCCACCACTCGGGACCGCTCAACTTGTTTTGACCCTAATTGCACCGATATTTAAAACCAAATTGCTTTAAATTCTTCTTTTCTTAAAGTAATGTGGAACGAATTTCTTTGTTCAAATGCACACTCACTGGTACGGTAAAATGATTTTTTTTTTAAATTTGGACGGTTGATCGAAAGCCAATTTCCTCAAAATACCCCTATATTTAACTCTTTCAAATTAACCCAGGAACTACAAATTTTTCCAAACTGAAAAAAACTATCACAACCTATTTTTGCTTGTTTTCCAGTGCGTGCCTGCCTACCCGAATAACTCACAAAACGGTTCCGTTTTTTTGTTTTTAGCAATTTCCCATGTCTAGCTTAGAAGGGAAGACCGAGGGGTTTGGCCAACTTTTGAACTATTTTTACTAGATTGCAAAATCTTCCATTTCTACAATTTAGTCGAGAATCTTCTTCACAATCACCATGTATTTTTTCACAGAGCAGCTTGAAAAAAAAAATACTTTGAAATCACATAATTGACTTGAAGTTTTAGTCAAAACTCTCTTAGAAGTCATTCTGAAATCTGCTTTAAGTTGCTTGGAAAATGTTTTATTTTTCTAAAATTCTCGTAATAGTTCTTCAGTAACTGTATCCCGTAAATCTAGTCCAGTCCAAAGGTCCTGAAAGTTTTTCAAGGTTCAAAATCTTATTTTTCTCGAGGAAAGGACAGAGTACATTTTTCCCCGGTTTGTTTTCGAAATTCACAGGTTTTTCCCGGTAGCTTCGATTTTCCGGCCTTTTCCCGATTTCCTGAACCACTGGTCACCCTGGCA